TCTCCGCCGCCCGGTTCTTGCTGGCGAGCTCCGCCAGCTCCTCCCCGAGCGCGGCCGCCCTTTGCCCCTTCCTCTCGATCTCGCCCTGCATCTTCCTCATCGTGATCTCGTAGATCCTCATCTGGGCCTGCTGCTCCCGGATCTCCGCCAGCATCCCCGTCACGTGCGGCGGCGAGGAGCCGATCTGGTCCTTGAGGAACCGCCGCTTCAGCTCTGAGAGCAACTTCAGCTCGTCAACCACCGCCTGGTCCGCGGTCTTCACGGCGGCGGCGTCGTACGGAAGCTGCGCCGTCTGGAGCTCGGCGTAGGCGGCCTTGATGGAGGAGACGGCGGCGAAGAGCCTGGCCACAAAGGCTCTGGCCCTGGACTCCTCCACCGCCTCCGCGGTCTCTCTCTCCAGGTGCTTCCGGTGGGACTCGAAAAAACATCTTGCTTTCTTACCGTCGGCGATTATCGGAAGGCAGAATCCGGTGGAAGCCGATGAATTTTTCGTGGGTTTTTTGGAGAGAATCGCTCTTTTAAGCGTTTGAGATAATTTGCTTCGGTTTGGAGCTGCTGGTGTGGGACGAGCTGACTCCATTGATGAACTTTGATCAGAGCATGTAGAAGCCGAAGAATAACAAAATGTTAATTAAATTGAATTAGAGGGACTATCTTGCAATATAAATATATATAGGTAAAAAAAAGAGAGGGACTTTTTATTTATTTATTTATTCTTGAAAAAAGGAAGGACTGTGGTTTGACTCTGAGGCCTACGGCCGAGAGCAAAAGGATAAAGGAATTATATTGTGCATCGCATGCGCATAGATATTACAAATATTTAGACACATTATATCACATTAATCTTATAATTTATGTAAAAGACATTTAAATTTAATTATTGATTCGAATTATTTTACTCTAATTTAATTTAATCTTACAATTTGTGGCATATAGATTATGATTTTCCATATTATTGAACTCTGGTCAAATTTTATTTGTCTGCACCTAAAAATTGTGGATTAGTTAGAAAAAAATATTTCAATTAATTAAGAAGTCTCATAATTGACATGATTTATGTGTTAGTGTAGTAGGTAAGGGGACATTATAGCGTGATAGTTTGTATATTTATTGTTTAATATAACGTGACAGACATAGTATGAATTAGAAGGGAATCATTATCATTGGGAATGAAAATTTATTTAATTTAAGAATATTTAATGAATCTGCTGACCGGCTTCAAACTCAAGGTTCATAATTCGTAAAATCAACAACAAATCTAGTTTCAATTATTAGAATATTTATTTGATACTTATTAAGTTACATTAAATTAAACGTCATTAACGTCTTGCAGCTGTTGAACGAAATAAATCGCTCGTGATATATGCTAGATCATTTAAAGTTCGTTTTTCTTTTCTAGTCTTTTAATTATCTAATCAGCTCGACCTGAAAATCAATAATTAGCTAAGCTTGGTTGGATAAAAGGCTCGAGCCCGAGCTCGAGTATTAAGAGTTTGTTTATTAGATGCACTCTCATGGGGATATATAGTCAAATATGATCCAATAAAGATGGTGATTTTTTTTTTTTAATTTTTATTTTTTTGACAAATGATGAAATTTTTTAAGCACATGTAAGTAAAGGAAACAAATAAACTTAATGATCTTTGTGGATAATGAAATGACTCTTGATAATATATAAATCCTACATTTTCTTTATATGAAAACTTTAGATATATATTGCCTATATCAAGATTAAGGTAATCAAATCAAATAAAATCTTCTAAAAGGTACAATGTACAGTACAGTTTTGTACATAAGATAAATTTTAATTTTATACATAAGTATTTGAATTTCATATAAATTAATAAAAAAATTTCATATTTTATTTCAAGTTTGGTGGATTTTTGCTGGAGGGAGGATGTGAACTCATGGAAATGCTGGGATAATGTATTTAAATGTGTGTGTTTTGTGGACTTTAATGTGTGAAATCTGCAAAAAATGCTATTATGATGTTTTATTTTTTGGCTTTAAATTTCAAGTTGCACAACATGTCTACTAGCTAGGGATTTGAGATTCCAGATTTAATAATCAATATTTTTTTCGTAAGATGATACGGTCCGTTGCTGAACTATTCCATTAAAATTTGTAACCGTTAGATCAACTATCTCTGCCGGTTGCATGATGATCTAACGGTTACAAATTTCGATGGAATAGTTCCATAACGAGACCTTAGCATTGCCTTATTTTTTATTATTACTAATTAATATTTATTGATCTGTAAAATCTATATATATATTAAAAGTCAACCTATTTACCAAAAACAGTAGCAAGAAAAGTCAAGAAAAGTCAACACGCATTTAACCTATTTATTCATGGTTAGATAATAAAAATATAGTTATTCTTTAAAATTTCGACATGTTATTTATTTGTATAATATTGCCAACTATGATAGTGTTTTTATCACTTTTTTTTGTTATGTTTCAAAAATGAACTTATTGTAAAATATTTTTCTATTGCATAGTATGTTAAATAAACTATAAAGCCTTAGGATGAAAAAAAGAATTATCATGAGAAAAATGAATTCTAAAAAACATGTGTGTGTATTTTGTAAACATTTATACTCAAAATTTTATTTTTGAATTTTATTACATAAAGAAGACAACTTCTATAAGTTTTATAAATAATAATAATTACATTATATGACAATAAATTTTATAATAAAATAATAATTGAGTATTATATGGTGAACAATAATTAATAAAAAAATTATTTTTTCTTATATCAATGAATAAATATGTATTCTAAAATCAAATAAATATCAGTATGACGTGTTAGTGGAATTATATATTAATTAACATGTTAATTTTTTGGTTTAAATAAACGCCACTTATTAAAAGATGTGAAATATGGATGATCCAAGCCTATTGTTTTTTTTTTTTTGTCTTGAATGCAAGATATTGACTGGTGATCATGCTGGCGACACAGTGTTGATTCCTAGAATTAATATTACTCCTTATGATCTTAGGGTTCCATTTAAGTTTGGCAGTTCCCACTTATGGTTTCGTATGTCATGACCATAAACAAGAGTCAAAGACAATCTTTATCCCACGTTGGTCTTTTTCTAAAGAAGTCTGTCTTTAGTCATGGTCAATTATATGTTGTTGTTTCGCGTGTGACTAATAGAAGGGGTTGAAGATATTAGTTTGTGAGAATGGGGAGTTGCCCGATAATCAAACTCACAATGTTGTGTACAAGGAGTTCTCTAATAACATATGATTGTTTCTTTTTTCAATACTATTTTATTGTACAATTTTCATGTGTATGTACAACTTTTATTGAATATTGCATATTAAATTATAATACTCCTCAAATAAATATATCTCGTGTCTCGCACATATCATGTACTATATATATCCCGTACATCTTTTTTATTCATTTATATAATTATAAGGCTGGATATATTGCCTTAAAATTGTGCACCCCGTGTATCGCACGGGCTCTGTACTAGTTATTGTTAGAAAGGACTAACGATTAGTGGGTGATAATTAAAAAAAAAACTACATACATAAAAAAAAAATATATAATAATTTATTGTATAAATATTTATTTTTATTAATAAAAAATGTATGAAATATTATTGGAGCCTTTGAAAATCAGTAGCAGATAGTCTCAGGCACGGGCACACATGTTTATTTCAAGTGTTGTAATTATGTGGCAAAGCCGATGGTCCAATTATGTAAAATATGTGATTAATATTAGATTATGATAGTGATTATCTATCTAAACAATCTTTAAAATGTGCATTTATTTCAAACTCCATTTGGGGACATCTGGGAGGTTAAATGTCAATGTTTTGAAATTGACATCCCACATATATTAGAGTTGGCAAATTTAAGAGGCCTAATTACTGATTTTGAAATGTGCAATCAAGTCGGAGTCAAACTCAAACTTTAACGAGCTAGAGCTCGAGGCCTCGAGCCCTTAACGAGTCGAGCCGATCGAGTTCGGCTTATTAAATAAATGAGCCAAAAATTGAGCTCGATCTCAGCTCGTTAAGGCCTCGAGCTCGATCTCAACTTGTTAAGGTCTCAAAAATTGGATTATAAGTAAACTTGTGCAGTAAATTCAGCTTATGCTACACTATCTTCTCAGTGAATTCGGTAAACATTTGGATTTTACGGCAAGCAAAAGTTAAAAACAATAATTCACGTTTTAGAAATTTTGAAGATTAAGCTTGTAATTGATAATTGCAACTTAATTTTGCAGTTTGATAATGTTAAATAATTACTATACCCCCATTGGGTACAAAGCTTATAAAAGGTAATTAACGATCAGAAAAACTAAACTTGATTTCATCAAGAAAATGAAGTATATGATACTAAATTTCAGTAATTTATTTATACGTAAAGAGAATAAAATTAAGAAAAGCAAAACATGGTTCGCGCACACATATCTACACACACACTTATATTTCCTTATACTTGTCATTGGAACCGAACTATTCACGATCACATTGTGTTAATTCGACTCGTAAAAACTTGAGCTCGCTCGGTGAATGACCCCAGCTCAAATAGATAATTGAGCTTGTTTAAAGAATGAGACAAATCGAGTTTGTTTACAAACAACCGTATTAAAATTATAGGTTTAATTAATGAGTTGAGGCAAATCTTTTGTTCGTTTATTAAACGTCTCAAACCGATTATTTAAAGAGCATGCTCAAGCATGAGTTACTCGACTCGATTTG